TCCTCCTTCTGGTAACCACAGATTCCCTCTTCACCCGGACTCCGTTGCAACCCGTTTTCTTAACATTTATTTTGGGGTTGGGCCAAGAGAGCACCAGCAAAAATAATAATATCTCTTTAGAGTATTCTTGCCATTCTCCAACTTTGCCCTCACGCAGCTGTCTTAAATGTCAAGGAAAAAAGGTTTAGCTTGAAACCGAAGCCAGAAAAACTTTGCCGTCTATTAAAATAAGAGAGGAATTGGGGAGGGGGGTTTCCTGTCCCATTAACTTTCTCCAGGCAAAGGTGCTGTGTCAAAGGGAAAGTTCCCAGCAGATTAACGAGTCTATAAATCATCAAAAACCTTTCTCAGCGTGAACCTATTGGGCCAGTGTAGATTTCCTTGCTATTGAAGGAATAAGTTGAGCTGTGGAATCTTATATGTCTATGGACCAGGTAGGAAGGCTTGGTTGGAAGTAGGGACGAGGGGAAAAAAATGAGGGGAAAAGATTAATCAAAGATTAATCAATTGTTCATGATTAATTTTCCCGTGTTCTTCTTTTGTTGTACTTGCGTTTTGGTCTGTGACCGATTAATCAAAGTATCTTTCCAAGCTTCAAAATATTTAACTACCCTGTTTCCCCCCAAAAAGATGCAACCTACCCTGAAAGTAAGTCCTAGCTTGATTTTTATATGTTCTCGCCCAATATAAGCCCTACCCCCCAAAAATAAGCCCTAATTAAGCTCCTGTCCGCTCAAGAGTGCATGGGTAAAAATTAAGCTGGGATGTGGAGCTGCCCTACTACGTACCTTTGGACAGTTGTAGCCAGGCCTCGCACACCCCGACACCTGCTTTGCCAGCCCATTTCTTCTGCAGTGGATGACATCCCCCGAAAATAAGACCTGGTGCCTTTTTTGGTGGCCAAAAAATAATAATAATAAGACAGGGTCTTATTTTTGGGGAAACACGGTGGTTTCCATCTCTATGCACCGAGAAGAATGAGGATGTATGGGGTCTTTGGGGCTCTCTGAGCATGGTGGCTTTCCTTGTAGACATTTCCTTACCCAATTGGGTGACATCATCAGTGGGGTTGGCAAAGAGAAGAAAGGTCCTTGATGCTCTCTGAGGTCCTTGATGCTCTCTGAGCATGGTGGCTTTCTTACAGACGTTTCATTACCCATCTAGGTAACGTCATCATCAGTTACCTAGTTTACCTAACATCTCTTCTATCTTGATCTTTTCACGTTGGAGTTTGCTTGGTTAGAATGGTTTGGTTTTCCGTTGATGCTTGTTTTTCTACACTTTCCTGGACATCTGGTCCTTTCCATTTCTTAACAGTATGGAGAGTGAAGCTTCCTCGCCTTCTGGAATTTTTTTTCCCCTCCCTTTGAGAATTTGTATAACGGCAGCTTAAAGACGAAACTTTTAGCCAACTTCTTGCGAAGGGGGCCAAACGCTCCTTGGTTGTCATAACAGCTTTGTACTTACAAGACGGGAGGAGATCCCACTATTTCCTCGGTTGCTCAATTGTTAAAGGGTGCAAGCCAGAACTTTCCAGTTCTGGCTCCGTTTTGCTGGTGGAAAAAAAAGCCACTTGGGACAAGAAGACGAGAGAAAAATCTCTGGCCAGCGATGGTCTTTTCTTAAGGCTGGTTCTTTATCCATCTAAAGATCGTCCGTTGGGGAATTATGGACCATTCCCAAGATTGTTTGTCTGGAGAATCCCGTTCTTGCAAGGACCCAGATTGCAAAAGATGCTTTAACATGTCCTGGCCCTTTTTAGCTCTGAAAACCGATAGTTCCTCGCTGCTCGGTGTCAAAAAAAAAAAAAAAAATTGAAAGATGCGCATCCTTACAAGATGCCTTCCCTCAGTGGAGGGGTGTCTTACCTATCTTCTGAATGAAATCTCTCTAACAATTCTCTTTCAGGTATAGTTTGAAAGATGAGGGTTCCTTGGTGCTCTCTGAGCTTGGTTGTTTTCTAGCAGACGTTTCATGACCCAGCTAGGTAACATCATCAGTGTTAGAAGAGAATGGGATTTGGGGAGTGGAGAAGGAGGAGGAGTGGAGGAGGAGGAAGAAGAGGAGGCAGAGGAGTAGCAAGAGGAGGAGGACTGTGGGGTTCTTGATGCTCTCTGAGCTGGGTTGTTTCCTTGCGGACGTTTCATTACCCAACTAGGTAACACCATCAGGGCTAGTGATCAGTTCTAACACCGATGATGCTAGCTAGTTTGGATAATGAAAGGTCTGCAAAAAAAAAAACTAAGCTCAGAGAGCACCAAGGATCATACAGTCCTCCTCCTCCTCCTCCAGTCCTCATACCCCACTTCCTTCTAGTACTGATGATGTGACCTAGTTGGGTAATGAAACGTCTGCAAGAAAACAACTAAGCTACGAGAGCACCAAGGACTATTACAGTCCTCCTCCTCCTCCTCCTCCTCCTCCTCCTCCTCCTCCTCCTCCTCCTCCTTCTCCTCCTCTCCACATACCCCACTTCCTTCTAGTACTGATGATGTGACCTAGTTGGGTAATGAAACGTTTGCAAGAAAGCCACCAAGTTCAGAGAGCGCCGAGGCCCCCTCATTTCAACCCCAAGCTACAAATACCATCCTTCATTGCTTCGAAAGACATTTGAACCTCTTCTGTGGTGGAAAAGTTGGGAAGAAACATACATCACTTTCTATTTGTGCTCGACCAGAGCTGGGCAGCCCATCCTGAGTTCCCTTATTGTTAAACAAGTCTGTCACCAAGGAAATAGCTAAGACCGCTTGCAGGTTTTTTACGAAAGGGAGGTAACTAATGATAATAATTTGTCATTTCTATCCTTGTTCATCTACTGAGGTTTTTAGATAAGCTTAGATTTAAAAGCCCCAAAAAAGCAGTAATTGCAAAATGCAATCTAAACAAGCCGGGAATAACCATCTAAAATAGATGAGGCAGATTAGCAGAGGTGCTCTTGGAACGTCTGAAAGTTACTTCTGGGTCCCTATCTCATACATCTTGCCTAATCCTGTTTTTCTTCCCTCGTGCAGCTTTGAAGGTGCAAGCTTTGCTCTGAAAGAATCGGCGTCCTTTGAGGGGGTCGTTGAGGCCACTTGGAGGTTTGCCTGTGTTCTCAGGGTCACCTGAGTTGGTGCCAATGGGTGTGGAGCCTCCTTGGAAGGGCTGAAAGGACCGTGTAGTAGACTGGAGATACCCAATGTCGTATCCCCCCTCCCCCTTTCAAACCAGCGGTCCTTTCTGTCCAATATGTGGATTTTCCTTCCTTCCAAAGAGTCTTTTAAATGCAGATGGATGCAACACAGTCCTTTCAGCCATTCCATACCAATTTGCACCACTCAGGTGACCCTGAGGACACAGAACAAACCTCCAAGTGGCCTCAAGGACTCTCTAAAAAGGATGCCAATGACCAGCTGTCTGCAAGGAGTAATAAATCTTTCCCTTCCCCACCATCCAGTCAGAGCAACCTAGCCTTATGCAACAGAGAACTTTAGGGACTCTAATTTTCTTTCCGTCATGTCTGGAAAGTGAGAAGGAGAAGGCAGCTGGGGACGGAGGGGGGGAACTACTCTGGCCTGGGAAAGGACCCAGGGCAATAATCCACAGGGCTGTTGTAACACTCGCCTTGTTTTGACAGCGAGCATCGCCTCGCCCGCGCATTGCCAGGGTTACAATCCAAATTGGCCGTCTTTGGCAATGCCCTTAATTAGGAGGGTTTCGATTCCATTCCGAGATACGCAAAAGGGGTTCCGGGGTCAATCCAAACAAACAGCATTGCCTCTTAACAGCCAAAGAGCATTAATTGCTCCAGATTGAATCGGCTCCATTCCCCGAAGTCTCCAAGCTGAGCCACGTCAAATTTGCAGCGTGGAATTGAAGCAGAGCCTCCCCTTACACCCTCAAACCTGCCCTCCGCAGAACTAGGAAAAAATTTTCAGATCCCTCACAAGTTCCCCCCACCCCACCCCAAGCATCCTACCTACCTGAGTTCGAGCTTGGGGGAAACGGGGTGCAGGAGATCAAGTGAATAAATAAAATGGGGACAGGCCAAAGCTTTTTTTTTTCAAGCGAGAGGCACACTTGGCTTCACAAGTTCTTCAAAACTACAAATTCAGGAGCATGTGGGGGCTCCATCCCTGGAGGTTTTCAAGAAGAGACTGGACAATATTTGTCCAGAATGGTAGAGGGTCTCCTTTTTGAGCTGGGGGTTGGACTAGTTGACCTCTAAGGTCCCTTCCAACCCTATTATTCGTATTCTATTCTGCTCTGTTCTATTCTATTCTTTATTATGTTCTAGTCCTTATTCTATTCTTTTCCTTATTCTATTCTTTATTCTGTTCTATTCTATTCTAGTCCTTATTTTATTCTAGTCCTTATTCTATTCTAGTCCTTATTCTGTTCTATTCTAGTCCTTATTCTGTTCTATTCCTTATTTTATTCTAGTCCTTATTCTATTCTTTATTCTGTTCTATTCTAGTCCTTATTCTGTTCTATTCCTTATTCTATTCTAGTCTTTATTTTATTCTAGTCCTTATTCTATTCTTTATTCTGTTCTATTCTATTCTAGTCCTTATTCTGTTCTATTCCTTATTCTATTCTAGTCCTTATTTTATTCTAGTCCTTATTCTATTCTATTCTTTATTCTGTTCTATCCTATTCTAGTCCTTATTCTGTTCTATTCTAGTTCTTATTCTGTTCTAGTCCTTATTTATTTTAGTCCTTATTCTATTTTATTCTTTATTCTGTTCTATTCTAGTCCTTATTCTGTTCTATTCTAGTTCTTGTTCTGTTCTAGCCCTTATTCTATTCTACTCCTTATTCTATTCTAGTCCTTATTCTTTTCTGTTCTCCATTCTCTTCTATTCCTATTCTCTTCTCTTCTATCCTAATCCTATCCTTTATTTTTGGTTCTACTCTATTGTACTCCGTACTCTTGTTTGTTCAATGTAAAATTCTTGCCTGCGCGAACCACTTTGTGCCCCTCAACTCCCCCCCCCCCTCTCTCTCCTCTGCCATTGCAGAAACGCCGCGCATGGATTCTCCCTGATCCAGGTGGAGAGCCTGAAGGTTACCATGAAGGACATTTTGCAGAAGGCTCTGAAGCGAAGGAAAGGGTCGCAGCGAGGCTCAGGTGGGGACGAGACCTCTGGCTACACTTTTGTTTGTATTATAATAATAATAATAATAATTGTTGCTCTTGTTTTGGAGGGAGGGCAGTGCATTTCATGGCCGCCCCCCCCCCCCCCCCCCCCGATCTCTTTCAAATATTGTGTTTGTTTGGTTTTTTTTTTGTGACAATGCACCAAGTGACCTCTCTCTTAGCAATGCCGTTGTGGCAGCTTAGCCCTTCCAAGTCCTTGGGCAACAAGCAGGCATTCGAAGTGTTTTTAATTGCTTTTATTTATTACATTTATTGGCTGCCCATCTCGCCTCCGCCCGGCTCATCTTCTCCTCGCCAGTTTTTATATTTTGCACTTTGCTTATTTTGGAAACAAACACCCACCCCTCACCCCCTACCCCAAAAAAAAGTAGTCTAGGAATGATTGCAAAGAAAAAAAAGTAGGAAGGAGAAATGGATTTGGACTGTAAATCTGGAGCTCTGTCACCTATTGTCTTCCTGTTTTGTTTTGTTTTATTTTATTTAAATTACAGGCCGTCCTTGACTCACAACGGTTCATTTAGGGACCATTCAACGTTAATAACGGCACCGAAAAATTTAACTGACCACCACTTTTCACAGTAATGACCAGGAGTGGGATTCAGCCGGTTAGGACTGGTTTGAATGAAGCCCACGCTCACCAAACTTGGCTGTTTATACCAGTTGAATCCCACCTCTGGTTATGACCTTTGCAATATCCCCATGGCCAAAAATTCAAACCCTTGGCAGCATGAAGTCACTAAATGAACTATCTGTATACCCACAAAGCATTCAATAACGCGAGGAGGAGTGAGGAATCATGGGTACCTTAGCCATTTTTGGAGGCTTCTTCCCTATCATCCCATTCCCTTATATAACGAAAAACCAACGTCAAAAATCTACCTTTCACTCCGATTTAGGCTAGCACATAAAAAAAGAAGGGGGAACTTTTTCTCTTGTTTTGAAGTGTTCCATCCGGCTCTTCCCAGCTGGCTTCGTTCCTTTGGAATAAACATGGAAACAGCTTGAATGTTTTATCCCGACGGTTCCTCCCCCAAAAATGTCTCCCTGACGCCTAGGTATTTCGCCGCAAGCCTCCCCTTTTTGCAGGGTTGAATCGGCCAACCTTCCCAACTTGAAAGAGGATGCTTCAAAAAGGCTGCATTTTGTCCCAGGTCAAAAAGCCCCAGAAGATTTCGCTCCAACTTGGAGACGATTCTATCTGGATTTTTTGCTTTGGGTTCGGAGCCCTCAAAAGTGGATGGTATAGTTGAGATTGAACTGTTTTCGGCAAATGTGTTTTGCAATTTCAGTATTTCCGTCTTTGCACTCGGAGCGGCCGGCTATTGAGATGGAGCTGTTTTGTCAAACCCGTGTTTTGCCCCCCAAAATACAACCTACCCTGATTGATTCTCACATGTGCACCCAATTTACTTAGCAGGTCATAAAATGGGGCGAAATTCACTTAAGGACCATCTCCGCTTAGCAGCAGGAATGGTGGTTGTAGGTCAAGTAAATACGCTTCTTTCCATCATCTCGTTCAGCCTTTTCCAAACTTCTCTCTCTGCGTCCCTGCAGTCCCATCTGGCTACGTGTTCCTTGTTTTTGAAAAGGAGAATAATAATAATAATAATAATAATAATAATAATAATAATAATAATAATAATAATATTAATAATAATAATAACTCTTGGGAAGTGTTCGACTAGTGATTTGTGATACGAAACTCAGCATAGTTATCTCGTTTGCTGTGTACACTGTTGTTTTTTGTGTCTAATAATAATAATAATAATAATAATAATAGTAAACAGCAAACCCGTATCAACCATCATTGCCAGTAAATAATATTTGCGATGCATTTTAAAATGTTCAATTGACTGAGTTTCATATTTAATGACTAAAGTATATAATTATAACCAAAAAAAAAAACCCTTTTAGATCTTCTTGCTTTTAATTGTCAAGAAAGTCCTTTGGCTTCGAGAGGCCTGTACAGCCTTAAAGCCCCCACCGAGCCGAGAAAATCTGTCTTGACATGTAGAAATAATTACGGTGAGAAATGGCACCGGCTTTTGAATCGCCCACCACAAAGAACTTTAATATAAACCTATCTATAGACTCAATAGAGATAAGCATCTTGTCTCAGTTAAATGAATGAAAGCTTTGTCTATTTTTTTCTTTTTTTTCCTCTCTCTCTCTCTCTCTCTCTCCCCCCCCCCCCCACCCCCGGACCAGTTTAGTTTCTAACTCCACCGAAAGAAAGGACCCAGGCTTCTGTTTAGGAAAAGGGGGGGAAGGAGATCAACGCAGCCCACCCAACCGACCACCCCTTCCGCCCCTTCCCCAAACGAGTCTATAATCTGTCACCGATTTAATTAGCTATCTCCAGATGAAAGCTGAAGTTTTAATAAAAGTTAGGAGAGATAACACCCACCGAAAGGACACGGATGAGCTGTCTCAAGGCCGCATTCGGGGAGGGGAAAAAACGATAAGAGCTGTAAAAAATGGCAGCGGAGAGCAATTGAATGGAGCAATGAAAATCGGATTTATTTATTTATTTTTTAAAGGGGAAAGGTGGGGGGGGAGGGAAGGAGGAGGAGGAGGAGGAGTTGGCCACCAGCCAAGCGCCATCGTTCACCCTGGGCTGCTGGCAAGCCCTGTCCAGATGTGCCAGCCCCACGTCGTGGCTCTCGCCAGCTGACTGCGCCGTTTGATAACGCCGCTCTCCGGATGCCCATCGCTGACCGCGGAGATGGAATTAGATGATGATGATCTTCCCACTAGTTGAGAGGGGAAACAATGCATATAAATCTTGATTTCGTCTCAGCGTGAGAAGTCTTTATCCGTCATCACTCATAATGAACAAGTCGTTAGCCAGGATGAATGGTCCTCTGCTCGGCTCCCGACACCACCACCCCCCCGCTTCCTCCTCCCCATCGAGCCACCCCTTTTGTTCTTTCTTTCCTTCTTTCTTTCCTTCCTTCCCTTTCTTTTTTTCCCTTCCTAACATGATGGCTGGGGCTTTAGATTTTCTTCCTTCTCTCTTTTCTTCTTTCCCTCTCTCTATCCTTCCTTCCTTTCTTCTTTCCTTCCTTCCTCTTTCCTTTCCTTTCCCTCCCTTCCTTCCTCCTCCCTTACTTCTTCCTTTCTTTTTTCTTTCCTAGCATGATTGTTGTGGCTTTAGATTTCCTTCTCCTTCCTTCCTTTTTTCCCTCTCTCTATCCTTCCCCTTCCTTCCTTCCTTCCTTTCTTCTTTCCTTCCTTCTCTCCTTCCTTCCTTCTTTCCCTCTCTCTATCCTTCCCCTTCCTTCCTTCCTTTCTTCTTTCCTTCCTTCTCTCCTTCCTTCCTTCTTTCCCTCTCTCTATCCTTCCCCTTCCTTCCTTCCTTCCTTTTTTCCTAATATTATTGCTTTAAGACTTCCTTCCTTCCTTCCTTCCTTCCTTCCTTCCTTCCTTCCTTCCTTCCTTCCTTCTTCCTTTCTTTTTTCTTTCCTAGCATGATTGCTGTGGCTTTAGATTTCCTTCCCCTTCCTTCCTTTTTTCCTAATATTATTGCTTTAAGACTTCCTTCCTTCCTTCCTTTCTTTGTTTTTCTTCTTTTCTTTTATCTCTTTTCCCGCCAGGTGACTTTTATCAGTTTTCCCAGCCCATCAAACTTTCTCCTTCTTCCCTAAATCTTGCGAACGGCTGACGGGTGTGCATAACTCTGCCTTTACCGACCTGACACCCTCCAGGTGTGTGTGTATGTGTGTGTGTGCCATAACTCCCATCATCCACAGCCAGCACAGCTGGTGGCTGGGCTGCCACACCTATAAACAAAGAGCAGTCCAACTAAACTTCCCCTCAGCTGTCCACCTAAACTCCCAACTAAAGTGGCATTTTAGGAAGGAAAGGAGTGATGAATAATAGAGTTGAAAAGGGACCCTGGAGGTCTTCTATTCCAGCCCCCTGCTCTGGCAGGACACGTCCCAGACATAATTCTACGTCCAGTCCATCCAGATACCGGGCAATTCTGCGCCTTCCTTTTTGGAAGCAAGCGGTCCCAACTCCCTCTCTTTTTCTTCTAAGATCCCCCTCGGGAATCGCTGACCTTCTCCGCCGTTTCCTTTTCTTGACTCCGTGTATAAAAAATGTCATTCTGAGCCTTGTTGCCGCCAACCTTTAGCAACCTTCTCAGGCATGAGGGGGAAAAGTTGACACGTCAAGTCCTCGGTGACAAATGGAGCTTTGAGAAACGGCTCGGTTGCAAGTTCCCTTCTATTTTATTTTATTTTAAAGAAACAAGCGGGGACTTGAACCGCAGCAGAAACACACACACACACACACACACCGTTTCCCAATTCAATCCTCTGCAATCCTCTCCACTCTTCCTTCTCCGGGCAGCCGGCGTCCTTTCTTAGGGAGCCTTTGGTGCCTTTCTCGGCTTGGTGGCTGGCTTGGAGACGTTTCACAACCCAACTAGGCAGCGTCATCAGCGCGGGTGGGCTTCAAAAAATTCAGCGGCCGGTTCTCTGCCCGGTGGCTGGGTGGGCGTGGCCTAGTCGGCCTCCTGCACCATGGCGGGAGGGGGTGATTTTGCCCTTCCTGGGCTCCGGAGGCTTTCCTTGAGCCTCCAGGAGTGCAAAAACCGTCTCCCCAGGCTCTGGAGGCTGGATACGGGCCCATTTCTGGCCTCCTGAAGCCTCTGGGAGTCCCTTTTTTCACCTTCCCCAAACCTCTGCGTTGGCCCTGCACTTACCTGGGATCCAAAAGGGGAGGGGCAGGGTGGGTGGGGCCAACCGGGAATGGGATTTACCAGTTTGCCGAATTAACCATAAAATTAACTACTGTTACCTAAGTTGGGCAATGAAAGCTTCTTCTTCCTCCTC